CCTACTGGTAGGCTTGTGCTCCGAGATCAGGGCCACCCGCACAATGTGTGTGTGCTCACTCTAGGTCTCTCTCCTGGCTGTGATGTTCCCCCCTGCCCTGCCCCTGGTGTGGCCGTGGTGTCCTCCTGCCCCTGGTGTGGCCGTGGGCTGTGGGGAGGCTCTGGCCTCCTTGTGCGTGCTGGTGAGCCCCGCCCCACCCAGCTCGGGGTGCTGCCCCACCCCCCTCCCCTGCTCCTCGCGCCCCTCGCAGCCCAGCAGGGTTCCCAGGCCCCCCCGAACCTGGTGTCAGGCATTACCGTGTGACCACTCCTCTTCCAGGGCTGGCTCACCTGAGAGAGCGGACTCCAGTGAGTGCAAACTGGTCCAGCCAAGGATCGGGGGCTGCCAGAGGGAGCAGAGCCGACTCCCCGTCTCCTGAAGAATCCCCCTCCAGGCCTCGTGGCCCTGCCCACGTCCTGACCCCAGGAGCTCTCGGGCCAGCTTGGCCTCTTCCTTGGCACCCCAGAGGCCCCGCTGCTCCCTCCGCCATGGGCTGTTGGTGAGGGCAGAAGTGTGTCGGAAGCCCAGCCCTGGGCTCGCTCTGGACTCCTCAGCCAGTGCTGAGATCCCTGGAGAGGAGGGACGAGCCTCCCGCCGGTGGTGCAGCAACGGCTCCCTGGGGCCTGGGGCTCCCTAAGGTGAGCTTTGAGGGTGGCTTGGGCCCTGCCACGCTGGCCCTGGTCTGGCTGGCTGGTCTGCCCAGCACCGGCCACCACCCAGCCCCTGGGAAGGCAAGTCATTGCTTTTCCAGGAGGAGCTGAGCTAAGAGCTCCTGGCCTGCAAGGCTCCTGGTGCTGTGAGAGTGGCCACGAGGAGGACCTGGCCCGGTGGCCATTCAGGACCCTGCATGCCAGGGAGGAGGGCGGGTAAGATGTACGTGCACGCAGTCTGGGGTCGAGGCTGGGCTTCGGCCATCCAGACAGTATACCCTGGTTCTCGTTCTGACCCCAAGCCCCTGTCCAGCCACGTTGGGCCCAGCTCTAGCCATCTGCAGTGCCCCGGGGCCGTGGCTCACGGGTGACCGTTGGAGAGGCCCAGGAGGCAAGCACAGGTGGCTTCTGTGCACTTGAGCTATTATTAACCCGAAGTGACGTCACCGGCACCCAATGGGAAGCAAGTTTATTTCCAGGGCTGACAGCTTGATAATAGTTAATTTTAGCTGGACCTTCATTCCCAAGCTCGTGAAACCCCAGCCAGCCAAAGAGGAGGCTGCTGAGTCTCCCAACAGCTCAAGGATGGGCCCCCAGGGCTCCAGGAGGGGGCTGAGGAGGAGAGCCAGATTTCCCTCCTGGCGCTCCTCCCTGCCTAGCTGGCCCTGCCGGTGGTGACGGCCAACACAGACAGGGGACAGTCAGCACAGGTCACGGCCGCAGGTGGGACCTGAGTCTGACTGGACGTTACACTGGCCTGGCCAAGGCCTTCTGAGCCTCCTCCTCGCTGTGTCACCTCAGGCAGCATGCTTAACCTCTCTGTGCTCAGTTCCTCCCCGCACAGGGCGTGGAAATTCTGGTCACTATCTGTGTTTGATGTAGTTATTTAGTATTGTTTTGTATGGTTCTCGGCCATCCTAGTCCACTTGGCCTGACAGGAGACCATTGGCTGGGGAATTTATGAGGAACAGAGTTTTACTCCTCGTGGTTTTGGTGGCTAGAAGTCCAAGATCAACACTGGACTCATGGTCAGGGCTGCTGGCTGAGGCGTGACATGGTGGGGCGTAGAGTAGGAGAGACCCTTCCTACAGCCTTTCCAGGGTCACGAACCCACGGCTGAGGTGGGCCCCCAGACACCCCCACCAAGACCCCAACTACCAGCACTATTGTCCTGGGATTAAGTTTCTTTTTGTTTCATTTTTATTTTTGGTGTTGGTCCTGGGTCTTGAACTTAAGGTCCGGGTATTGTCCCTGAGCTTTCTGTTCAAGGCTAGCACTCTACTACTTGAGCCTTACCTCCATTTCTGGCTTTTTTGGTAGTTAACTGAAGATAAGAGTCTTACAGAGTTTTCTGCCTGGGCTGACTTTGAATGGGGATCCTCAGAGTTCAGCTTCCTGAGTAGCTAGGATGACAGGCACTGGTCCCCAGCTCTGGGATTAAGCCTTTGACAGGACTTGAGGGGCTCATTCAGATGGCAACAGTAGCTACCCAGCAGGTGGAGAATTTGTAGGTAGGGATTCTTGTACTGTTGGACTGTTGTCACTTAGCACAGTTGCAATTACTTGGTACTATGGGGCTGTCACCTGGCACTGTCCCGATTACTCGGTACATTGGTGGTTAGTTGTCACCGGGCACTGTCCCAATTACTCGGTACTTTGGTGGTTAGTTGTCACCTGGCACTGTCCCGATTATTCGGTACTTTGGGTTGTTGGTTGTCGCCTGGCACTGACAGCATTAGAGCTACCCTGCAGGGCTAGCTTTTTACCACACTGCATTGCTCTGGAGGGGGACCAGGGAGCTCCAGGTCAGGGCAGAGTCCCTCAGGGAGGACGGCACTGGCTGTCTGTGGCCAGTGGTCTGGGTGGCACAGTTCCTGGCCAGGTGCGAGGCCCTGGTCCCGACCTTGCCGCTCACTGCTGTCCGGGGGTGAGGCGGTGGCCAGACGGTGCAGGAAGCAGTGTCTGGTGCAGACCCTGGAGCTAGAGGTGCCCGGGCCCTGCCTACTGGTGGAAGTCCCCAGGATCTGACCATTGCCTGCCCAGCCTTGGCCAAAACGGCACCTACAGCCAGCCAGCCTCCAATCCCGATCCTGGCCCAACCTGGCAAGAAAAGGAGGCACCAAATGTGGTGGGCAGCGGCCAGCGGGGCAGGGCTGCGGGGTTTATTTTTAATTCCTGGCTCCTGACGGACACGGTCAGCAGCCCTCGGAAGTGTCAGGCCATCTGAGAGTCCCCGCTGCCCTGGCTGGGGCGCAGGCCCGGGCCCCCAGGCGGGCCCAGACCCTCACCTGTGCCCCTCCTCACACCAGCCAGGAGGCTGGGTGCGGCGGGCGCCTCTCTTGTGTCCCCTGTGCCCCTGCTGTCCACCCTGCCTGCAGACCCCGCAGGGGTGAGGACCCCGTGGAGCAGGGCCAGGAGAAGGCCGGTGTCTGCGTGGGGTGACAAGGAGGGTCCCGGGAGGGACCCAGCCGGGGCCCAGTGGGGAGGCTGTGGGCGACCTGCTTCCCAACACCGGCCGAGACCTCTACCGGCCTGCCCAAGAGGCAATGCCGGCGGGCGGGGAGGAGAGGGTGGGGTGGGGCGGCGGGCTGGGTCTGCGGGCAGCCCGGGGAGCCCCGGGCCCGGGTCGCGTGCTCCCCTGCACGGCGGGACACACGGCCCCTCCTCGCCCCCACCCCGGCCGGAGAGGTTTCCCGGGACCCTGTTCATGTGGGAGGCGCAGGCTTGGTGCGTCCAGGGGCTCGGAGCCG